TCCCAGCTGTTCTAACTAGGACAATCTGAAACTACAAATATCTCTGATTTAGTTCTTTCATGATACACTTATCCATCCAAAATTACTTCTCTGCTTGCCTGGTGGCTTCCAACTTTTTGTTCTAATAGCTGGACCACTGTCCGACACCATTACTTCCCTTTGATATGCCTGAAAAGTTAAAGTGGCTTGGTCAAACTTGGATAGGAGTTTTTTTGTTACAGCCTGGAACTGAGTCCCAGGCTAACACCCCATGCACTGAGAGAGACGATTTCTCACCTGAGAGTCACTCAGCAATCTGGATCTGACTTGGATATGTTCTGGTGAGTGTCTGACGGAGTGTTAGGCTTATAAGTTTGGATTCAAAATCCTGGACAACCACAGTCCTTGAGCACATCTGTCAGAGCAAAATGGCTAGTTTTGTCCAGGTAATCTAATGTGATGGCAAGGAAAACAAGGAAGAGGAAAAAGGCATACATGCTGTGGAAATGCTGCATCTTTCTGATGCAAAGAGAACAACCTCAAAAAATTGTTTTGCCAATGTGCAACACTGGAAAACATATGGTGATTATTGTGGAAACAACAATGAAATATGCAACCTGTGTAAGCTACACAGTGCAGTACAACAAATGGCAACCACCTAAAGCTTTCTGTTTGTGGAGAACATATCTGGTCCCGGGTTTATTGCTTCTGAGGCAATGAATTAGAGTAAGATCGCAGCAACCAGCTTCTAGGAAAAGTCAGCTAGCTACAAATAATATATGCTGATGATTATACTATTAATATCTTGATCAGTAATCATTTGTGTTTCTTGTCCATGCCAGTTGTAAAATATGATTATCAGAAGAGCAAGCACTATTCTCATAGAGTTATGTGATAAGTTACAGTAGGAAGAGAGTGGAAAGAAAGAAAAAGACAGAAGAAGAAATTTTCCTGTGCTTCCATTCCTTGTATCCCCACTTTGGGCTGCTGTGAAGCTCTAGGGAGTCAGAAGCAGTAGAGTCTTACCAGGTGCTTCTAAAAGTAACGTGCATGGGGGTAACACTGTGCATCATCCAACCTTTCTCAGTCATATGAACAAGGTAAAAGTAAATGTATATATGTACAGTTAAGATGAAAATACTGGATCTGATTCTGTTTCTCTGCACAAATCCTTAACCTTGCACAATGAAGTTTAGGCAGTAGTTATGAGGATGTGGGTTTTTTGCAGTTGTTACAGGAGAGCTGGTATGTGTGTGTGCATGTTTTTGGTCCCATAGAAAAGCATGTGAAGACTAGAAGTCAACTCTAGCATGAACTCAGATTTTCTTGTGCTTGAATAATAAGGAATGAGGAATTGATTTCAATTTGTTAAAAATAAAATTTCTCCCGGAAAAATGAACATCTGGTAAAAAACTTCACTACAATGTTTACATAGATTACATATTCTAATCTTTTTTACCTCTCTTTTCATCATCTCAGATTTTATAAGTAAAAGGCTTAAATCAGCTTAAATGTCCGAAGATTTCTGTTTGAACTTAAATCCCCAGGTATTTTCCTGCTCAGATGTGGAATGGTACTTCACATTCTGCACAGCACAGTCACCTTTTCCTCCATGTTCAGAAAGGGCCAGCAAGCTTATTTGTTAGATCAACCTTTTATATCAGTTATGATCTGATTAAATTTTTCATCTAGGCTTTGCCAAATCAACCTCAGTTATGCGCTTCTACGTGTGTACGTGCATGTGCAGAGAATCATAGAATAGTTTGGGTTGGAAAGGACGTTAAAGATCATCTAGTTCCAACCCCTCTGCTATGGGCAGGGACACCTCCCACTAGACCAGGTTGTTCAAAGTCCCATCCCACCTGGCCTGGAACACTTTCAGGGATGGGCCATTCACCACTTCTCTGGGCAGCCTGTTCCTTTGTCACACCACCACCACAGTAAAGAATTTCTTCCTTATATCTAGTCTAAACCTACCCTTTTTAAATTTAAAGCCATTCCCCCCTGTCCTACCACTGCAGGGCACAAACAAGGCCAGAAGGTCTCTCGTGCAGTGAGGTCAGCCCACAGCTGGGAGATGCTGACACAGACCTTCCTTTCTGCCTGGGAGGTGAGAAAGGTATTGGCAAAGCAGCCCATCAGGTGCTGCAGCACCCTCCAGAAAAGAAATGGTGACTTGGCATCCATGTGGACGCAGTAGACATTTTGGGGCATGTACAGCTCCCTGAAGAGCCACTTGAAGGTCTTGAACTCTTTGTGCAGTGTCATGATGTAGGCAACAAGGAACACAGCCTCTTCAGCCGAGAGGGCACAGGTGATGTAGTGGTTCTATATTATGTGCTCTGTGCAATTAGATTCTCTGAATGATTTTTTTAAAGCATTTTCCTTCAGAAAGGACACCTTGACTTCATAAAGTGCTTTACAGGCTTGTACTAAAATTGAACTCACTGAGAAGTTCAGCCTCATAAGATATTTTTGTGCATGCGCATTAACGGTGTAGAAAACAAATGGAAGTGAAAGACTGAGAATCGGAATGGCAAAGAAGCAGTATCTGAGTGTATTCACTACTGTCCAGAAAAAGAGTCTCTCTTGAAATATTGCAGAGAGGTCTGATCAGACACCACCAACAGCTCGTTTTGCTGTCCGTGCTTGCTTCCTACTGGAGAACGTATGCATCCATCTGATGCCCATTATGCAGCTGCTGCCCTTACTTTTAATACTAATAGTTGCATAGCCATCATTGATGTGGAAGCAGCATAAGTAGCGAATGACTTGCAGATGGGAGCTGCTCCACAGCACCCTGAAGATTAAACAGACATGTTGCATAATTACTGGCTTGGCAATGAACAGCTGGCACATAACTCACGCTGTCCCCAAATTCAATTTATGGGTATGTTCTTGACTGCTCCCTCCCAGTCTCCCTGCATGTATCATATAGCTCTTAAAGTGTCTGTACATGCACCCAGTGACAGGAAAACCTCATATTTACCTCTTGTATAATTCTATTTTTTTACTTATAGGACTTTTTTTTAAACCATCCAGGTGTATCAGTTATCACCGCCTCCGAATTGTGGAAGGCTTCTGACATGAAATAAATACTACTTCAATATGTCTCAGTGACAACTACACACTTACTAGATCAAGTATATATTAGCTATTGTGGCCTTTCTGCTGTTTTATATCCTGGATGAATATAATTTCTAGAAGGTAACTATCAGAAAACCAGTTCCATACATACCATTTTCCAGCCAAAGAATACAAGATGGAGAACAACCACTCGTGTGTCTTCCACCGAGTGTCTTCACTATTCTTCATTTCTAATGTAAAGCCACCAACGTTCACATATAAGAAGTAAGAGAATCATTTTTGCCTCTGTGTAGAGTCATATCACAGCCATTACATTTTTTTCAGCAATGTTTTCTTAATTTGTAAATTTGAAATTTGACAAACAGATTCTGCTTAGAGTCATGAATGTGTTGTGATGAGCTCCAGACTTACATCCATCACAAGGAACTGGGTTAGCAAAATGTGTTATTTAAACCACTGAAGTTAACCATAGGCTTTCTGATGAGACATTCTTATTTCTAAGAACTATGCATGCATCTGGTATAACATGCTTATGCAATGAGAGCTTGTGGCATGACTCTGACTAAAGTGAAATCCTTGGTCTCTTTCTTTCAGCTGTGAGTCTGTTCATGTGAATCTCCTGCTGCGAGACAGCATATTTGGGGCATGTAAACTTTTTGCAACATCATGTCCCTTTGCTCCAATGTGAAGCAATGCTGAGCCAAAATCAGTTGATCTGAGATTATGCCAGTCAGTAAATGTCCTGAGTGAGCCACTCCTCACCGGGCAGTCAGAAGGAACAGGTAGGGATAGCTGCAGTCCTGCTGGAGATCCAGTGCAACCTCCTTCACAGATACCAGTGCCTTCGGAACGAGAATGGCTCCAATGGAGCTGAGGAGCTGGAGCAGACCTATGCAAAGTCCCAGGGAGTAACAGAGACTCACCTGATGCTGCTGAGAAGTCATCTGGAGAACACTGCTCCTAAGCTGAGACCACTATTCAAGTCTAGAATAGAAATGCACAGCAAACACCATCTTCCTAATCTGATTGTTACAGTGAATTATATCCAGGTGTAAACACCACTCCCCTGCCTGATACCTCGGAAAAGCAAATTGTCGTGACAGCTGGTGACTATAATACCAGCAGCCTCTTGCTGTCCTCTGTGCAGTCCATAGACCAGGGAATTCATCATCTTCCCACCTTCCTACTGGGTCAGCTGGCTGCAAGACCATTTCTCCCCCTCTACCATAGTCTTAACATGAGACCTCCATTCAGCTGGAGTTAGGAAGATGTAGAAAGAGAATAGCAGGGGGCAGATGCCAACATTCCTGCAGGCATCAGGGTTTCCTTGGGGAAGTCTCAGTTGGGAGCAGAGAGCACATGCTACTTTTCCGAATTACCAATGGCTGAGATGTTTCAAAGCATTTAAATGCCTTTGAAACTGTCTGCTCAAATGTTCTTAAAACTACTTTAGGCACTCTGTAACCTGCTACACAGCTAGGAAAACCTTCAAGTCTTAAAATATATACATTATATATACATATATATATACATATATATGTACGTAAGGAGACTGTTCTCTCTTAGGTATTGAAGTCTGCATTACTAGCCCGGTCCACAGCAAACAAGTAAAGCTACACACAGAAAACAAAATGGGTCTGGTTTCCATAGGAGTCCAATGCAAGATTTAACCTTTCCTTGGTCTCTTTTGTTGATAGATTTTTTTTTTCCTTGCACAGACATTGCTGCAACACCTTTGCAGAAATCCAGATTAACCATAGTCCTTTGGTAGTAATAGCCTTGGGGATAAGAAGGCTGCATGCTTGGTGCTACTTCTTAATTCTAGTGCCTCAATTCTCTGGCACAGTTAGTGTTTAGAAACCTGAAAACATACATGTAAATGATTGCTGTGGAAGATCAAGCTGTCAAAACCTTTGGGGTTTTGTTTGGTTTTTTTTTTTTTGGTTTTGTTATTTTAGCACTAGTTCTACTTTGTGCTGCTCTGTGTGAAATAAGATCCGTGCCTTGAATTATAGGCAAAAATCACAAAAAAACCCAACCAAACAAAATAAACTTTAAAAAAGCCACCTACACACCCCCTCAAAAAAAAAAAAAACCCAAACGACCAGAAAACCCAACAAACAAACCAAAATCAGTCAAACAAATAAATAGTGTATAAGTCACATGAGCCACCTTATTGGAAAAAGTCTTTCTCCGGTATTAGTGTGTTATTGATTTTATAGACTCATCCTAAGTTCAGATGCAAGGAGCAGCCAAATCTAAATGTACATCTGAACTATATTATGGCACCAGCAACCAGTAAGGAGACCTCATGATGCCCCTGGATTCTCCTGTTATAGATTGTATGGAACCTCTGCATATTCTGGGTGCAAAAACAGAGTTACTGGACAAAAAGATAAGATTGAATTTACCAGGCACTTTAACAAATATGCCATGTAAAAGGGATCTGTGCTGGCAGAACTAAAACTGCTGCTGACAGATTTGCAGTGCTGCTCCTTTCTATTGTTCCCAGGACATGCATTGTAGTAATTTTCGTTTTAGCATCACAGGAGTTTTTGGTGTGACGCCTATAGTGAAAACACACTCCCCAGTAGGACTGGGGATTGAAATGTCTTCCCTGAGGATGAATGGGAACAGACCTTTCCAGACAATGAGGATGTTATCTTCAGGATAGAGTCAATACTCAGTAAACTGCTCCTGGCCTTAATAAATATAGGTAATTGGTTTCAGCTTATTTGTTAGCTAATTAAAAGGCAAGATGCACGGGCTTTGCACATTGGTTTTGAGTTCCTCTTTGGCCTCAGTCAGCAGTGATGAATGTTATGCATTTCAGGTCTATTTGAAGTCACTTGGTATTTTCTATTGTCTTGTTAGGACAAAAACATCTATATCATGATATTTCGTTTCATGACTCTCTCATGCAAAGCTCTGAATTTGAATTGGCACTGTTGTTAAAATCACAGTGAACCTGTTGTGAGCAAACAATTTTGCCTCAGTGTGGTTTTTCTGGTTAGGAGGTGCAGGTAGGCACTGTTTTGTGCCCAAGTAAAGGATCTCCTCCGCCCACACACCTTCTTGCACCAAGATGAAACTTCTTTGGTCTTGTGGTGGTTTGGGATGTCATACAATGTGCATGGTCTCCCCAAAACTCTCTCCTTGGAGCAACCCTACCCAACACCAATCTTCTCTAACATGTGCCTTACTCACATGCCCCACCTGAGCTGGAAGATACAGTATGCACTGTATTCACACAGGGGAAGCGAAATCAGACTCTGAGTGCAAAAGCAGTCATAATTTATTCCTATCTCTCCTCTGCCCTCCCTTTTTTCCTGTTCAAAGCAGTCCCTGCCTTTCCTGCACTTCCCAGCCAGCCATAATCTGACTATTCAAAGAGAAGAAAATTCAAACCTACCTGAAACAGGAGTTCCCAGGCAGATGCACTGACACCGGACAGTCACAACGCAGCAGCACTGGCAGCAAATGGGAGGAGAAATGAAATGACACATCAAGGCAAATGCTACCTCAGCTCACATGGTCCAGTAAAACCATCGAGTAATCTAATTGTACACAGTCAGTGAGCACATCTGTCTGCACAAACAGCAGGGGCCAGACAATGCACCATCTCATCTACCTTTGTCTTGCTGTGCTCTCAAGCTCCAGACACAGAGTCTCTTACACTGCAGGAACTTCGTTACTTGTCTGCATTTGCAGCAGACTTTTAGACACAAAGGTTTTGGGAATAGGTAAGCTGCCTAGTCTCTTAGCAGAGAGCATTTTGCAAGTCAGACTTGCTACTGGTCCAAAGCAGAGAACTCTACTGCTACCTTCTCCAATTAATTACCAACAGGGACACGTACTCACCTCTGTGCAAACTATTCCTCATCAGCTGCTCAGGAGCAACAGCACGGCATTCTCTTCCCTGCTCATTTATCCTCCTGCGCAGAGAAAGCAAGACATAATTAAACACGTCCTAATAGAGGACAGGCAGGCTGTGGTGGTGAAGCTGGCTTTCTTCTGTTAAATATGACTAGATTGTATAGCTGACACTGGTGTAGTTGACACATGGTGAGAGATCTGTTTTCTTATTGCAGATTAGCGTACAGTAAAGTACAAATTTACGTGTGCCACTACTATTTGCCCTGGGGAAGTGTCCAAAGGTAGCCCACACTGGATTTTGCAAACATTTGGGCTCTTGCTAACTTTATGAACATGAACTCAAGGTGTTCCATTCAGTGGGCAAAGTGGAGCAGCTGATGTCAGACCCTCAGGGTGGTGCCAGGTGAGGGCAGTGTCCCTGCAGCCTGGTCTCTGCACGGCCAAGGGTCTGCTCCCAGCTGCAGGTGTGTTAGCAGCTAGAGGAGTAAAGCAACTGGATTTTCAGGTTGGGAGTGACCTGCTCTGCCAAGCAAGTCTGACCACAGCCCTGCCTGCTGATACAGGTGACTGGCTATGCCAGAGAGTGCAGATATATGGATCACTGTTATTATTTCTAATGCCTACACTAAACATGTAGCATTATCATGTTCTTTATTCTGACAATATAACTTGTTTCCAGCTGCAAAATGAGCAGAGAACCCATAGGGATCTAGGAACCATCTACTGTCAGGGATGGCAGAAATATATATATGTTTATTATAGCATTAAAAAAAAAAGGCAGAAAGTCTTCAAATATGTAAAAAAGGTAAAACAGAAGCAAATTATGGTGCAAATAGGAAGGGAGTAGCTGATTCTCCCTGCTCTCTGTGCATAAGACAAGAACTAATCATCTTAGATAGCATCAGGAGAGGTAAAGATCAGACACTAGGGAAGCTTTGTAGTGATAAACAGTTAAATGTGGATTAGATTGTCTGGAGAGGCTGGAATTTTCCTGCTGATGGTTTTTGGGAGCAGGTTAGGCATAGCTTTTTCAGCAGTTTTGCAAGTCATACTGGTTCAAACCTGCTAATTTTCTAGGTCTTTTCCAGCTCCTTTTCCTATGATGGTCTATTTTACAGCACCACAACTTGGCTGTAGCTGGGCTGAAGATCCTGTTACACTCAGCAACTGTAACAAGAGGACTTTGTCGTCATTTAGAAATATGCTCATAATCTCTGCTAATTACCATTAACATCACAGTTGGGTTAACCTTGGGATAGTCCTGGACCACTCAAGAAGGAAAAGCATTTGTATGATACTTTTGTGATTCATCCTAAGCATAATGAAAAATCATTTAATAAATGATAAATCTGTGATGGTTTACTTCTTGACAAAGCCTCAAACTGAGGCTTTTCAAATTGCGTTTCCTGAGCATTTCAAATTGCCAAGCACCTTCCTATTTGCTTTTGCTTTGGGTGGAGGCTCATGCTTATGTTTTGGTCTCTTGTTCTACTGCTTACACAAAAACTTTTTATGGCTCTCAACGGGAAGGGGAGTGGCTGCAATCACCAGTCCCCATGGGGTAGAAGACAGACCCTGATGGCATTACTGAAGCTGGGACAATCTGACCCCCATACCGGGTCACTGGAAAGTCATAAAGAGGCTAGAAAACTACTGGAAATCTCCTGCCTTGTACAACATCATATTCCTCAGCTCCTACAGACAGCCTTGTCTCAGCCTTGTCTCATCTAGCCCCACCTGCTAAACAGCTTCTTCCAGGCCAAGGTTTTCTTACTGGAGTCCCCCGTTACCATATACACCTGGCAGCTGGTGCTCTGGCATGTTTTCTGTCCTGTAATGGGTTATTTCACAGTGCTTTCTGGAACCTTCCTTTTGAAGCATTCCTGGATCCTGATTTGAACTGCAATTCTACTTTACAGTCTCAAATTCTGCAAGTGTTTGTTTCTTTTCTTCCAGTTTAGTACAATTTCTCAATTTGAGAAATTCTTACAGCTTCTTGCCTGTTGCTCACACTGATAATGCTTCTTGGCCTAAACCCAAGCCTATATTTAGGTTAGTTTTTGTTAGTACTTTTCATTTGCAAAGAATGTACACAACAGCTTCTTTTTTCCTGTACCTACAGCAATTAGAAGGAATATGGTACCTTTATCCCTAGGCCCCTGCTTATTGAATCTCTATGTGAGCTCTGTTCAAGTGACTGGGCAAGTTCATGACAGAGGACCCTTTTTGGATACACAACAATTATGTCCATCTCACAAGATCCTGGTCTGCAAATGGTTGGAGGCTGGAAGGGTGCCAGGAAAAGCACTGCATTTTCTTGCCCACCTCCCTTGCTCTTCCAAAGGCCTCAGCACATGCTGAGGATACATACCAGTCAGGGATGTTATGACCCTCCTGAGTCCCTGCTCCCTCTCAGGGGTGCATAGACAATTGCTTTTCTCACTCTCAGGTCTTTTTCATATACACACGCATAACTCAGGACAGCTGCAAACACTGCCCTGCTCCAGGCTGCTGGTTATCAGTAGATGCCAAACTTTCTCCAAGTCAGGACTTGCTCAGGACATTACATGAAGTCAGGTATCTTGGCAGTGGCTTCTGTTGTTTCGGTGGTAACTCAACAGTGTGGGAATTTGAGTCGCTCCTGGTGGTTAGCCTCAACACACCACAGAGAGGTACACTGCATCCCTCAGCAGGCTCTGAGGTTTCTTACATAGCCAACTTGCTATGTCCGGCATGAGGCCACCATGTCTAATAAATGTAGCAGTTCTTGAGTAACTTGGCTTCTCTGTCATAAAATAATGGTGAATTTTTGTGCTTGTATTCATACAGTACCATTCTAAAAATTTCAGCAGGGCCATCTCATAGTGGAAGTAAGACTTTTTCCAGGGGCATTAGCTGTGGGATCTCCAGAGTTATAGCCACATTAATCATTAATTCCCCAAGAAACTGCCCTACCCCATTAAATACACTGGCATATTTTTTAATAAGGTCACCTGCCTTGTGTCAGTTGAGATGGAACAATTCCCACTTTCATTACCAGTTTGATCAATTTAATATCCAGCCTGCTCAGGGACTAAGCTCTAGTGATGCTGCTGTGTGTACAGCATGAAATTTGTGGTGTTTTACATCCTATTTCATTTGGTCTAAAAGCACACCATGTCTGTCGATGCCCTCCTGCCTTACCTTTCTCTTGAAAGGTGGATTCTTACTCTTTTCCTTCAGCCAGTCCTGCCATTGCTGTTTCCACACCAACGTGGAAAATTACACAGCCAGATGGGGAGCTAGCTGAAGCTTCTGCACGTTCTCAATTTCTTCTGGGACCTGACTGCTTCCATGGGACTATTAAAACACTGAGAAATTACACTGGGGAAAAAACAAAACAAAACAAAACAAAACCCAAACAAAAACAAACAAACAAAAACACAACACAAAACTTCAAATATAAGCAGGATCCACTTGCAGGCATTCTCTAAAATGGGACAGGTGCCTTTCAGTCAGTATGCCATTCTCTGCTTATGTTAATGCCTTTTCTGCAACATCCCAGTTAACAGCAAGCTGGTACTAAACAGCGATGTTCCGAGCCGTCAATCAGTGATGTACTACATCCAGCCATCAGGTTGCTGCCCAAGTTTGGGCCAACCTGTAAAGCCGTATCACCGCCGGGTAGAGCGGTTAAACTAAAGAAGGTCTCCCCTCCGATCCGCAAGCCTCCGCTGTCATTTGTCCCCTGTGCCACTGGATGGCAATGCTGGCTAAAGTTTCGCGGCCGGTAGCGGAGAGCGCGGAGAGGAGGAGGAAGAGGACGGATGGCAGCGCCGGCAGACGGGCAGGGTACGGACAAGGCAAGGCAGGACTGCCGTGGTGAGCCCGTGGGAAACGCGTCTCACTGAGACATCGCACCCTTTGCTGTAATTTTCGACCTGAAAGGAGATGTCCGACTCACGGGGTGTGATTTATCAGGACCCCCGCATTTGAAGGACTCGAATAATGGCAAAGTAATATGTGGTGTCGAGGTTTTAAGCGTCGGAAGGAGTTGTCGGCAGGAATGACTAGGAGTCACGCATTGGCTCGGCTTGCTAGAAATTGCCCAATTTTTATACTTAAAAACTGTACTTACATTTTGTAAAAAATGACTTTGTAAGCACAGCACGGCTGGGCTCAATGACTATTCAGTGAACTCATTTGAATGTGCATAGACAGGGCTTGCTTGAACTGCTGCATCAAAGAGAAATGCTGAAATGAGTCATTTGTGAATCACGGCTTATTTTCTGTTGTTAGCTCATCTGGAATCCCATGGTGATCAAACAGCTTTTTACAATGTGTTAATACATCGCTACTCCGTGTGTTTAGCAACAACCCTGTTCCAATAAATTGTAGGTAGTCATCCATTACAAAGAGGTAGTGTTTTCTGCCCCGTGTAAACGGGCTGGGATGAACTTGGAGGTGAAAACATAAGCAAAATTTCATGCTGTTCCAAACACTCTTTTCCACGCTGCTTCCACTCCAATATCATACATGCTTTCTGTCTCCTTGCTTGCAGGGCACACAGTCCACTCAGAAGAGATTGCCTGCAAGGGTAAGTGCTCCCGTCGTCCAAGAGGCTGCAAGCAGGCTCGAGCGGCCGACAAGCCACTTTACAGGAACGGGAATGAAAGGGAGGCAGGAAAAAACACCCGCGGCAGCAGTTTAAGGTAAGATCCTGTTTTTCAAATTGGTGGCTGTTCCTATCCTATGCCTTCAGCTGGCTGGAGAGCTTTGGCCAGGCTATAAGCAGTTTCAGGCACCGATCTGCTCAAATTTGTAGGGGACGGTAATCCTCCCCTCTCTTTTTTTTTTTCCTTTTTTTTTTTTTCACTGTAACAAACTGAATCAGTCCAGAAGGTCTGCAAAAAGTTGACAGGAGGCTGAGGAAGAGGGTGTGAATCCCTTAAGGCTGCTATTGTCATTGAACTCTCTGTGGTGTGAAACCACAGCCTGAGGTGCTGAGCTTCTACCCAGAGCAACTGAGGCTCAGGAACCAATTCCCTACTGCCAGATCTTTTATTGGAGTGAGTGGCTG